TCACGAACGAGGCAGAGAGAACCGAGGTACATGGGAAAGCAAAACACGGGCATCAACGAAAACAGAACAGGAGGCCATCGGGGAGGGCGTTTTTCATCATCAACAAAAAGGAGGAGGACAGAACGAAAAAAATGGAACAAGGGAGAGGGGGTCATGAACAACGAGGAACGGCGGTGAACAACCAGAGAAAACACGCATCAATCAAGGAGCTCATCATCAACCATTCGAGTATTAAGCAAAAAAAACAGAGAGGGGAAATCCATTGTAGAGCAAGAAAAACAGTATTTGTGAATCAAATAATGTAACTGTGGTTTTTGCCTGTATTTCTTCTGAAATCAAGCAATACAAACAAGACATCATTCCCTATTTTTGCTTATATCAACAACCCAACAGTAAAGCGAATCATTTTCAAGGTTAGGGAATTTCGGGTTACCTTTGTTCATGAGTATCTACGCCAAAGTCTTCGTCGGAGGAGGCCCTTGACAGCGTCGATCGAGGGTAGATGGCCAATAAACGGTAGTTGGGATTTGGTGTCCTTGGTGGCTGATGATGGCCAGATCGTGGGTTGAGGCTTGTATTTGCCGATTGATGGTCGTTTAGGCAGCGGCGTTAGAACCTGTTGGAGTCTCGGCCGAGTGTGGTTAGTAAAGGAGGAGGCGTCGAAGCATGATGGACGTGCGGTGGTCAGCAGAAGTCGTGGGGCCGTTGGTGACCCATCGGTGGCGTTGAATCGAGCCTTCGTGGTTCTCGTTCGAAGAAGAGAAGCTTGAAGGAGAGAGTAGAAGCGGCAGGTCTTGTTTTGCTAAAGTGAAAGGGGAATCTGATTTTAGGGTAAGCAGTTTGCGCCAGCTCGCCAATCCCGTGACCAAAACGGCGTCACTTTGGAGTGTTAAAACGACGGCGTTTAAGGGTGTATGAAGCGGCGTCGTTTCATCAGGGGTGAGAAGCTCCCGTTTCAGCGCCTGGACGGGTTATTTGGATCGTAAATCCTTCTGTTTTCCTTTAATGCATTTTAGTCCATATTTCATATTTTGTTTTCCTTTCTAATTTTGCCATCATATCTTGCGCTTATTTAATTTTAGTCCCTCAATTTAATTATTTTGGATTTCCGTTTGTTTGCGCATTTAATATATTTCTTTTGAGAATTACATTTTAGTCCAACATGAAATTAGGAATTTAGTTGAATTTCTGCATGGGATGTGATAGTTTATATTTTAGAATTTAATTTAATTTTAACTTTAAAGCTTTATGTACATTTCTTTTCATTCCTTATGCTTGTTTGTCATTATAATTGATGTAATGGCATTATTACTCATTTGCGTATTTATCTAGATATAGGTTTTTTGTGGCATTATTTAATTTTGCACGCGTATATTATTTCAAGCAGGTTGTTCACTCTCACGGAGTTAGGTGTAATTTATTTTACGCATGTTGGCCTCATGTGCATTACTCAACTTGATTACATAATTGGATTAAGGGTAATACCCTTTTAATTTAAAATTATTTTAAGTGGGTTGTCTTAACTGATTAGATATCCGCTTTGACGATTTTAAATTAAAAGTATATCCCACCAGTAACGCCTAATTAAATTTGGATTAATCACTTTAAAATTTGGGAATGAAAGAAAAAGAAATATTCGGCTATTTAAATTATTTGAGAAAAGATCGTTAGAACTTACCTAAAGATCTAGTCTCGATATTTTTACATAATCGAATATCCTTCATCTTTCTAATGACTTGGTAATTTTAATAAAATCTGTTTTGTTGCTTTTCAATGTTTCAAATTTGCATTTTTGTTGTTTTAAGGGATCATAAATCAAATTAAATTCGAACTTGTGAAATTCGTTGCAAAGACAATAATTAATCGACTAGGTACCGATTTAGGGCGTTGTGGGGGTGCTAATCCTTCCCCACACGTAACCGACTCCCGAACTCGGATTTTGGTAACGTAGACCGTAAATTTGTCGTTTTAATTAAAATTAATTTTTATTTAAAATGACAACGTTTTTGGGTGCCCAATCACACCCTAATCAAAGATTGGTGGCGACTCCTCGAACCATATGTTTTTATCGTAAAAGGAATTCCAAATTTTCGAAACGAGAGGTTTTCTAAAATTGCATTGTTTTTAATTAAAATTTAATTGAAAAGAGAATAATTAAAGATGATGTGGTTTTCAAAATCTCGCCCCCTCCCCGTTTAATAATCGTTTCGACACATTGGGTTTTTTTTATTACTGGACCGTTAAATAGTTAACGACGTTAAAATTGATTGTTGTATAGATGCAAAACGACGTCATTTTGGTGAAAATTTTATTCTTTTAAAATGAAGTCGTTTTTAATGATGGAGTGATCAAAATGGGAGAGAGAGGGTAAAGTTCAGTGACTAAAAATACCTAACGTATTAAGTTCAGTAAAAAACTGAAAACTTTTAAAATTCAATGAGTAAAACAGTAGAGAGAGTAAAGTTAGTTAAAACTGAAAATCTTTTGGGGTTGGCTCTTCAATTTGTTTTTCCTTTTTATCCCAAATCGTCCTTTTTTTATTTTTAATTTTTGGGAGGGCATCATTTCCAAGCTTTGATTCTACATTCTTAACCTATTCTTCTTTTTCAACTTTTAATTTTAAAAAATTACATATCAAACATAATTTTAAATTAAATGTATATATTATCATAATCGAGAAGCCTTAGCGGTAAAGAAAATGTCATTCTCTCTAAAAGTTTTAAATTCGAAGAGTTGTGTCTGTTGAATATATGAATGGGCTTAGATGCATCATTGCTCCCCTAAAGTATACTATTTGTACCGAGTTGTTACTTAAAGTATTTTTCAAGATGTTTCGTCTCCTGAAGTTTAAGTTGTTACCCCATTTACCTTAAACCGTTAACTTCAGGGGTAAACGGGGTAACGACTTATCAAATCTCAATAAAATGTTCCTTTTATGACCAAAATATGGTAGCAATTTTTTGAACTTGAACCTTATAAAAAATAAGGTTACTTAATTTATAATTTTGTATAGTTGGAGGACTCAACAAAAAAACTACTATATAATTAAGATACTAATTATGTATTTCACCTTAAGAATTAATCTCAAGTTTCATATCTCTAAACACTCTAATTTAAATTTAAAAAAAAACTATTAATTAAATTTAAAGGATATTATAATAAGTACAAATGCATAATTTTATGTTATAGTGTAAACTTTTAAAAAAATTGTATTAAAAATATAAGTAAAGTACATAAATGATCATGTAACTATAGTGTATTACTTTATTAATTCGTTTGACTATTAAAAGTTGTAAAATGATCCTTCAACGATATAATGTTGATTTGTTAAGTCCACTATTAAAAGTTACAAATTGGTCACTCAACTATTCATTATGTTCCAAACCCGTCCTTTTTCGTTAAAAATTGACGATTATCCAAGTTGGATGTTAAAATGATGACTGAGATATGATGGTCGTTTGAAATTTTGGGATTAGATTTTATTATATCATAGTTAGCATATTAACGTTTAACTCATAATACCAACAATTTTTTTACGAAAAATGACGAGTTTGGAACATAATAAATAGTCAGGTGACCATTTTATAAATTTTAATAATTGAGAGACTTAATAAAATAATATCTTATTGTTGGGGGACCATTTATGTATTTTATCCTAAAACTTTAAGGGTCTACTTGACCCACTTAACATACCTTACGTCCAAAATTGTCCTACCCAAACGCTGATGTCAATCAATAAACTTCTTTTGAATCAGCTAAGTGTTGATTGGAAACATCAAATCAAAGAGAAAAGCTGTGATTACATAAATTTGGTGTTGCATTATCTCAAACTAATTGCCCTTATCACTTGCCCTAAATAGACCTCTTAATTATTGACCTTACCTTGCACTACATTGTGTACAATTGCCCTTTGTTCCCTTCATTATTCCTCATTACCAATTTTCTTTTCACTTCAAACCCTTCATATTTTACTTATTTATTTAGGAGGGCTTGTTAGTTTTATTATGTTTTAATATATTGTAAAGTTAAAATTTAGGGTAAATTACGTGTTTAGTACTTAAATTATCAGTTTTGGTTCGTTTTAATAGTTTAACTTAAAAAAATCGGAAAAACGTAAACTCGAATTTCGAAAAATTTCAAGTAATCACTTTAAATCTAATGATTTTAGTATATATAAAGTGTAAAGAATATAAACTTTCTTTTGTTATTGAATTGCCCCTTCAAAAGTTTTATGATTAACCACTAGATTTTAAATTTTTGGTCAAATTCTTTTGTTAGTCTAAGTATTGTGTGTAAGTTGTAAATTTAATCATTATAATATGATTTTATACATTTTAGTCCTTGTACTTTTTGAATTTTGAAATTTTAGTCATGACTCAAAATATATAATAACAATATGGCAAGATTATAAGGCCTTAAAATTATGAAATTAGAGAATATGAATCAAATTTGTAATGTATGAAAGATATCGATACTGGCAGAATTTGACTTATCATATATAATATCTATCATTTGGATCATGACTGGAATTTTAAAATTAGAAACTAGAAAGTACTGAATTGAAAATTATCAGACATAGGATAAGGACTAGTAAAACATTTTACCAAAAGCATTCCTTTTTAAAGGTTAGAAAGTGGGTAGTAAAAAGAAATGTTGAATTCCTTTTCTCCTAAAGTGGAATTTGAATTAAAAAAAATTAAATTACTACTCTAATAATTTTTCTTAGCTATAACCATCGATATCTGATCTATTAATCGATCGATGTAAATTGGATACTATAGAGGCGATGACGATCTTCCCAACCCAATTTGTTCCATTTACAAATGTCAAGATTCGAACCCGAGATATTACTTAAGAGATCTAATATATCATCCAGCTAGACCAACTAATTATCGATATTACTGTTATAGTTCTATAAATTTATTTAATTAACATAGTGTAATTATATTATAATTCTCTATGTCACATTTGATAATACGAACTATAATTATACAATCAAATAAATTTAAGTTTTAAAATAATATTAATTATAAATTTTCAAATATGATAAACAAAATACGTTCACGAAATGTAATTTCATAGCCTTAAGGACAAGTCAAGGTGGCTAAACTCTTCTTGAACATCTTCACGCCGGTACCCCATGGACCAAGAACCGATCCCCTCTCTAGGGCCATAGTTCACATCTCTCCTCCCGTAGCTCATTTCTCCGGCAAACCTCCCGGCTCGACCGTGTTGTTGGAGAGTCACGACCGGTGGTAGCATACGTTGAGCACGGCTTGAACTGCCGAGACCGGACGACCCTGAGTAGTTCGAACTCGATCCCCCGTGAGCTCCAACCGACGAGCTCAACTCTCGGCTTTTCTTCGCGAGGGTTCGTTCGAGCTTGTGAGCATTTTGGTGCCCTCCGAGCGCCTGCGAACTAAAGAACTTCCGTTGGCAATAGTTACAGGAGAAGACTCTCGATTCGGTCGAGGAATTCGACAATGAGTGTAGGTTAAGTTGAGCTTCGGGGGGGCTTAAACGAAGTGAAGTATTAGGCTGATGATCCATGACATATACTCGTAAGTAGTAGGGACGGACGTAAAATTTTATCGATGGAAAAAAGAAGATCGTTGATAGGATTAGGGAGGGGGATGGTGGAAGTGTTATAAGAGGAATGAAAAGGTTTCACTGTTGGTGCAACTAGACATAGTGACTCGAGTGAAAAAGAGAGATGGACCCACCGAGTCACTGAGTTGAGTTATGTGTAGATATCTATGGAGGAATCAAAGTGTTGTCGCCTCCATTAACGGCAGCATTTCTAACCTTTTGTCGATCCACGAATATCATTTTCATTCTGGTTTTTGCCCTTCAAAATATGTGTTTGTGTGGTGTTATATCCTTATTAAATTAGATTTTTTTAAATAAAACGGGTTTCGTTAAAAAATTTCTTCTAAAATCTATAAAGAGAAAAGAGTGTCCTAGGACCTTATATTACCAGAAGAAGAATCATTGGATACAACAGACGTAATAATTTCAAGACAAACCGAATCAAAATACAAGGCATTCCCAGAACAGAGAGCCCACATAATCAAAGTATGTATATTGATGTATATAGAGATGACTATCTAGCTCAGTTGGTAGAGCACAAGTTTCTTAACCTTGAGGTCGTGGGATTGAGTCCCACGGAGGGCATTTCATAATTCGGAGGTCTTCTACGGAAGCTGCTCTCAATCTAGTGTCGGGGGCAACCTACTATCTTACCTCCCCCTTACCCCATTACATATGGGAACAAGGGATAACCAACCATTTATATTGATGTATATCTATATATTTTAGAATTAATAGAAATTGATGTCTTTATGGGTCATAGTGGGTTTTTACTAAAAAATTTAACTCGAGTCAAGTGACGAGTGTAAGATATAATACTCGATTAAAATAGATTAAAAATTCAATTTGATTCGACTCATGTCCATCTCTACTATGCTCATATGGACAAGAATAAAGTTAAGAAAACAAGTAAAAGTTGAATTACTAAATTTTAAGAGGTTAAAATGCAATTTTAATACCATATGAATTTTAAATTTTATAAGTTTTGAAGGGGTTAACTTATAAAACTACCAAATTTATGGTAGAAATGTAATTTTAGCATAGTACTAATTTAAAATATTACAACTTCTACAGGGACTAAACAACAATTTAAATAAATAGCTTGAGAATAACTAGTTTTCTTTATGACGAATAAAAATAGCTTGTGATATTGTGAAACCTTTATAATTAAGTAATCTAGCCTAGACAATGGTCGATTTGCACATGCTTTGTTCCTTCTCTCCTCTAGTTAATAATTATCATATCAATTTAACTATTCATAAAGACGAACATAAAATTTTATGTTTGAGATAAATGTATATAAATATGATAGATTAATTAATTAATTTAAATTAATAATATATATATATATAATTTAAATAAAAATTGTGAAATTTATCGAATTATTATTATTTTTAGTTGTCCTACTGGTTTTTTTTAATAATTTTGTCCTGATTAATCTAGATTTGCTCGTGTCACACTCGGAAACTTTTTATATACACAAAACTTCAAACTCGAGACCTACTTAAACAATATCAAACTTCTTACAACTCGAACCAATGGAGCCAAAATTAAATATTGGCAGGAGCTGAAATATTAAACTATTTAAGAAAAATATAAAGACTTATTAGGTATTTAAACTTAAAATTCAGCATGAACCAAGCGGCTTAAGTGATTAATGGATTGTTGTTATCCCTGAGGTCCCGAGTTCAAGCACATATGTAGGGGTATCAGCGTTCATTGTCAAATAGTTAAAAGTCTTTGTACAAATATTATCTTATATTCACCCTAAATTTAAAATAAAAAACTCAAAACTCAAAAGACAAAAGACAACTTCTAATTTGTCTAATATTTAAACTTACAATTACTTAAATTGTAATTAGACCAAAATATTGATAACACAGACTTATCATTTTTAGTTTGACCCCTATTGGATTAAATATTTAATAATTTTTTATATTTTTTAAATTTAAATATTTATTTTTACATAAACCAAAATTATATTGAATATATAAATTTTAATAGGGGTTGGGGGCCCTTGGGCCCTAAGGGAGCTCCGTCCCTGATCAAACGGTTCATATATATCTTTTAAAATTTACTATTATGTGATCATATCTATTCAGTCTGTCAACCTACGAGTAATTCTCATGATCATATATCTGACATCAATATTAAGAGTCACTATAAAATCCATCGATCAATACTAAATTTTCTTCCTCTCTCCCTACATGGAGATAGAGAACATTATTGATTATCATCCATCAACCATTAGTCGTAAATTTATTGATTATAGTACTTAATCTAAATTAAAATATTTGAACCACCTATTGTCATAATATCAATAAATTTACGGATTATATATTTTAACAATAATAATAATATAACAGTCAATGACTAAATTAATTCTTTTTTAATATTATTAATAAATTAACAAATTTTAAAATCAACATAAATATATGGTGTCCACTCATACAATTCAAGGTCAACATAACACACTTTTGAATATGATACCAAATATAAATGCTTTCATCCAACAAATATTATATAAATCACGGACCAAATTAGCTTAATGGTTAAAAGAATTGTAACACCCCTAACCCGTATCCGACCAGGATACGAGTCCGAAGTGTCACATTGACTTTTCAAAAATTTATTCGTATAAAATAGTGAGTAATTTAAAACTTTTGTACGTGTAACTTATTCAAAATATTTCCAGAACTATTCAGAGCTTAAATGTTTTTGAAAAAACCGATCAGAGCATATACAATTCAAAAACATTAATTACATGCCAACTATTTTCAATGTACAGAATACATCTAATTCAAAAGATCTTTTCTGATCTGATCTTCGGTAAGAAGTAACTGACCTATCTTGTTCCTCTTTACTTTTCTTTTCGCTTTCCAAACCTACGTGTGAAACAATCACACGCTAAGTCGATGACTTAGTGAGGCATATAAAACATATAATATTTCATATAACGTAAAGCATACATAAACATATACCATCATTATCATAATCTCTATCATTATCATTAAGAAACACACATAACATCATATGGTTCATGTAACACATTTCAAACCACTTACCTTTGATAACCATTTATAAACCCATCGTATACATATCACATTCAATATGCTTGTTTAATCACTTTATTAGCCCATGTACACTAGTGAGAACTTAAGGTATGTGAGTACATTGAGGTTGTGCACACATATGCTGTCACCACAGCTCGATCAATGTCCCGAAGGACCAGTCCATAGATTCCGAAAAACCTAGGTAATCAGTCCATATGTCCCGAAGAACATAGGTAAACAGTCCATATGTCTCGAAGAACATAGGTAAACAGTCCATATGTCCCGAAGAACATAGGTAAACAGTCCATATGTCTCGAAGAACATAGGTAAACAGTCCATATGTCCCGAAGAACATAGGTAAACAGTCCATATGTCCCGAAGAACATAGGTAAACAGTCCATATGTCCTGAAGAACATAGGTAAACCCTCGACCCTTGGCATGCCAACTATACCCTAGCTCTCATATCACATAACATGGGCATTATTATTTAACAGTTCACATTACTTGTCATTTCTCTTCTGTCACATACCACATGTATGTGTAACCATGTATTCCATATCATATCACATGTATCACGTATTGCCTATTCATATGTCATTTCATATAACATATATCATATGTGCATGTAATCATATAGATCGTATCATATAGCTTTATTCATATCACATATTCATATAAGCTCATAGCTTCTTTCACATATACATGTAATCACTTAGTTTATTTTCATGTAATTCTTTTCACTTCTCATATGATTTTATATTCATATCTCACATAGCTCATATCACCTTGCATTGTTTCATATAAACATAGATGTCATATCTTGTTCGCATATATTTTCCATATAACTCATATATCTCATAGTTCTTTCACATAGCTCACTATCATATTTTCATATCATATATCTTATAATAGATTCTTATATCATCATTTGTTTCCTTTCTACCTATTCATAATCACATATTCATATAGTTTATTATCATATCATATGGTTTATATCATCATAACATATCACATATTCACATTAACCATATAATACATATATACAATAACATGTCAACACATATAAATCACACACATATATACTTCTATTTATGAATTCATGCATTTTACTATGGAAATAGACTTGTCGCAAGTCTTATTTCCATTTAACATCATATAATACTAATATGCACTCACCTGGCCTCACTAGTCCATTCCAATCTCTTATCTTCCCTTTTTATCGATATTACTTGTCAATGATTCCGGAACTCGTTTAGGCTCTGAATCTACATAATTATACATTTTAAGACAATTATTAGATACCTACACCTTGTAATTTGATACTAGCAACTTAAACGAACTTATTAAACCAATATTTACAATTTTCCTTTAGGGGGAATCGGTTCCCTCCTGTGGGGGTATCGGTTCCCCCTGGACATTCTGTAAATTCTGATTCGTTTGAGGGGGTATCGGTTCCCCTTGAATGGGTACCAATTCCCCTTGCCCAGAAATCACATTTTGAGCTCGAAAATCACTTCATTTTCAGCTCAACACTTCATACTTCACTCCCTTTAATATTCCTAACTTTCATACACATACTTAAACCAATAAATTTTCATTCAATATCTCTTCAACTTAAAAATTCACTCTTCCACATAGCATTCAAGAATCATACCAATTTTTCCATGTTATCCAAAATTAATTCTAACACTTCATACTTCTTAATTAGATTGATGACAAGTCAAATTCATCCATAAAACTTTAACAACCATACCATATCAAAATTCCATCTTAAAACTCATATTACAAATTCCTTCTTAATTCCTTTATCTTATTGTTTAAATCCCATATAAGCTTTCCTTAAGCTTATTTAATACCCAAAGAATCAAAATCCACTTAATATTTACAGTAAATAACTATAAAAACCCAACTTATTGTAGCTAAGCCCCACGTGAAGAAGAGAAAGCAAGAAGAAGAAAGCTTCCAGATAGCTCTCTTCCAACGTTTTTCACTCTTATAAAAGGGAAAGAAAAAAATATCTTTTAAAGGAAAAAGACCATAATACCCTTAATTTCCTTTAATAATTACTAAATAACATTCATCATATATTTCCAATAATCATTGAATTATTTCATTCTTCTACTTTAGTCATCAAATTCTGAAACTTTTCAATTTAGTCACTAACCCGGTATTGCG